TCCAATAGCCTAAACGATCTTCAGTGTCAACTCAACTAATGGAAGAGGACTGAAAAAGGAAACTTGAGTTCAAAGACAGGAACTGGATGAATACCACTTAGCGCGAGCCGTCATCTTGAGAGCAGAAGGAGGCGGAACAGTGCAAGGTCCTTCGGTGGCGATCTTATACAGCCCATAAAGCTGCAACTGAACATCCGCCGGCACCTTCTGCGACAGCCGGTCGGAAGCAGCCGCCGCAACAAATGCCGTCGCCGCACTGAACGTCTCATCCAACTCGGTGCTCTCCACGCCTTCCCAGTCGTCGTCGTCATCGGTATCCACGCCGTCCTCGTCACCGATTCCCGCCACGCTCTCGTTCCTGATGCTACCCAGCTCGGCAGCGACCGAATCGGTCTCGTTGGAACCGGCGGGAAAATCCCTAGAGCCACGAACTTCGTCGCGGGATTTCAGTTGCTGGTAGGGTCGACTGGATGCTGCCGCCGGGGAGGGATTGCGCGTAATCGTGAGGTTGTCATCTCTGAAGGAGACGACGATGGAAATGAGCTTCGCGACGAGGTAAGAGAAGATGAGGGCCAGTAAGATGGATTGCAGTAATGTCTGCCAATCAGTCATGTTCAAGAAGGAAGGAAGGAAAGAAGGGGGGAAATTCAATTCACGGACAAATTGAGAAACCCAGAAAACACGAATAAACGGAGGGAAACAGAGAAGTGGAAAAAGGTGGAAGAATCAGAGATTCGGATTGAAGAGGGAAAGGCCGCGGTGGCCGGAGAAACAGAGTGGAGTGATATGATATCCCGGTGCATCCGGGAACGGTGAATATGACGATTTTTCGTTTGACGGCTGTGGGCGTGCGTAATGGTAAACTCGCCCACGTGGCTATCAAATGTGATGCGGGCCTGCAGAATGGGCCTATCTTTAGTGCAGAACCATCCTTTTCCTCGTTTTGGGCTAGTTTGTTGGTTTAGCCCGTATAATTTGATAACAAATGTAATTTTGTTAAAAATTAAAATAATGTATCATTCTCTAGACATTTGAGGTAATTGAGGATTCATGCACTCGTGGAACCTGAATTTCGAACGAGAGGCTAAATTTATTAACAGAGATATCGAAATACGCTATCCTTTCATATCATACTACTATGAGTATTATGTATGTCGATATACGAGATAATCAACACGTTGTAAACACTGCTTCACGGTACTCAAGCATTTTTTTTTGTCGTAATTTAATCTAATAGCTGAAAATACAAAAGGAAAACTATCCTAACTAACAGTAACATTCTAGCACAATTGCTTGCACCAAGTATCTATTTGCTTCTCTTGTGAATATACGGTGTAGAGAACTTAAAATGCGAGAATATGAACATGATCCGACGTGATGGCATGCCGTAGATCGGCGCCGTGGCTTGTGAAATCTCCGGCGTTAATGCCCATACTTGCAGTTTCCATAGCCTGCAAAATTGCACCACCTTCCACCATCATCATCACAAGTAAAAATGAAAGCATAAACACAAAACGAATCAAAACGAAGCTTTAAAAGCAACAGACTCGGATCGACGGCGGTGATGGCACCGGTTCGCCGGAAATCGCAGTCGTAGTCGTTCCTCCCCATGGCCTGATAAAACGCATTCATGGCGTACGCCGCGTGGGCCCGCACCGTATCCGGGAAAAAGCACTCCCCGCCTTCTTGAATGGGCCCGCACCCAGGCCCAAGCCCAACCAAGGCCCCACAAACGTAATCAATATTCCTCTGTAGCGAGTCCACATCCGCCCCTTCTTTCGCCACACACCACTTTCCCGCCCCCTTCCTTTCCCCTCCTCCGTCGGGCTCCGCCGGCGAAGGAGTCGCCGTTGGTCCCGACGATCTCGCCTGTAATAATCAGTTTCCCATCGTTAGTAGAAGAATCGCGACCGAACTGGATAGTAATGCAGCAGCATTGCAGTACTGCCGGGCGGCGACGGCGGTGGATACCGTGGGACGAAGGATGCCGACGTCGTACGCCGGAGTCAGATCCGGGCCGAACAGGCCGAAGTTTCGCTCGCAGGTGGGGCCTGGTTTCAGATCCTCGTTGAACAGGGAGAAGATGTAGGTCTCGAAGGTCCGATTGGGCATCAACGGCGTCCCGTCCCCTGAATTAACATGCCGCATCAGATTCCGGTTGTACTGAGCCGCGTTCTCCTGCCCGGCCCCGATCTGCGACGGTTCGCCCTTAGACGGCCACCCGGTCTCCGCAATTACGATCTCCAGGTCGCCGAACCCGAGCGATTTCATCGCCGAGAAGACCGCGTCGAGCTGGGCGTCGAGCATGTTGGTGTACCGAATCCTCGTGTTCGGATCCAGAAACCCTAGATTCGGCCGAAACAGGGCGTAATCGAGAGTCTCCTCCGAGCAGCCGAAGAACGGGTAAGGGTTGATCATGAAGGGGGAATTCGTAGATCTGAGGAAGCCGAGTAGAGGTTTTAGGATGTGAACGTCGTATCCGCCGTGGAATTTCCCGGCCGACGGAGGGGTCGAGGCGGAGAGGATTCCGAGGGAGTGAGGGGTCGAGATTTGAATCCGACGGTCCAGGGACGCTCCGGCGAGCGCGGCGTGGAGCGTCTGCATCGCCGGGACGAGGGTTCCGATGAGCAATCTGTTGCCTGTCGATAAAACCTCGTTGCCGACGAGGATCCGGACGAGGTTGGTCGCCGGGAAGTAAGGCTGGATGTAGGATTTGATCCATTGCTGGGCGAAGGAGAGGTTGGCGAGGCGAGGGATCTGGTCGTTGGGGACGGTGACGGTGAGCTGGATGCCCGTGTGAGCGAAGGCCTGGATTAACTCCGGGTTCGGGTCGAATATCCGGACCCTGTTGATCACCGTGGACTGCAGAAGGAACCTGGCTACTTCCCCTGGCGGAGGCAGGTCGTCGGCCACCGTGCCGTAGTTCACTCCGATGCTGCCGTTCGTGGTGGTAGCGGAGACGAGAATGAAGAGGAGAGTGAGAGCTGTTGGGACATGATGAGGAAGAGACGAGGAGGCGGCCATCGCCATGGCTGTCGAACAGTGGAGGTGGGTTGTTCTGGGAAATGATCATGAACAGCTGCCATGGATGAAGCTTTGGGAGATTGCTTCGAGTTTAAGATGTCATTAGGGAGATACTTTACGTGGTTGATCGATCTTTCTGAACATGGAACTATTATCGTTTTAAGAATTTAATAATTGGGGGAGAGCGGTGGTGCAGTCGCAGTCTGGATTCTAGATCGAGCTGAATCCTGAATATGGTGGCGGGAGAGAAGAGGGAAGAAGAAAAGAGACTGGCATGTAGCAGGAGGGAAAGAATAGTCCTTTTCTTTACCTGGCGGGCAAGTTATCATCGCCAGCAGTCTGACAGAGGGATTTTTTCTTTGCAGAGCAGCAATCTAAGCGAGAGAGATAGAGGAGGGAAAAGAATAGTCTTGATTATGCCTTCCTTCTTCATTCATTTGCAGTAGAAGAATAGAGCAATTGGTAACGTTCTCAATTTGAAGCCATGATCAGCAGCCTGAAGGAGTTCGTAGATCAAGTATATATTCAGATGGTTCTCCGGCTCTGCAGGAGTAACAGTTGGTACGCCAAGATGGAGAAATATTACTTGAGATAGCAGACAGACATATATACCAGCAAATATCACGAGTCCTTTCGATCTCAAGTTAACCATGTTAGAGAGAGAGAGAGAGCAGTTGAAAGGGGGAAAAAAGGGAGAGCCCTGATATCAGCTCCATGGTTGCTGCAGAAAGCTGGGTTTGTGCACCTCTTGTGTAAACATTGCTTGCACAAGTGAGCGTCCAGGCCAACAGAAAACACTAGCCTCTGCTCATCTGTTGCTTTGGAACACTCATTTGAGCAAGAAACTTTTACCAAGAGGCAATGATGGCAACATTCGTCTAACTCAAACCTATCTTCTTTGTTGTTCTTCCTTCTCGCAGCTTGTCTCTCCACCGGATTCCTATGCTCTATATATATACCTGCCATGGAGTACTACTGCCAAGACGTGGGTGAAAAACAGAATGACGTGGTAGACCTTCGTTCCACTCCTTTCAACTGTACCTTCACATTATATATGCGGCTGAGATGAGGAGGAGGGAGGGTTGGTGCGTGAAAACGTAACTTTCAAGATCCTAAACCTACTTCCGGGGAGAGAGGTTGGTGCGTTTGTGTGGTGGCTGGACTTCTTACGGCCGCTACTACCAACCACAGATCGGAGTAGTAACAGTAATATTCATCTTTAACTGGTTCTTCGATCACTTTTTTCCGTCATAACTATATGTGCTGAGCTTGATACAGACCGTCGGATCCAACTACTTCTCCAAGCAAATCGGAGGACGATCGTGGAGGTGGAGAGGAGGGGACGACGACGGCTCCGGTGGCGTCCGCGGCCGCTTTTAAAGTTTTGTACTGACCCAACTACATCAACTTTTGGGTCGTTACCAAACTGGTCATTTAGGTGACAAATTCTTCTCAAAGATGAATTTCCAAAATTATAGTACATACTACCGTGAAAATACGTTTGCAATGACTAGCACAGTAGTAATTCATCATTATCGATTGTTTTATAAGTATAAATTATCGTAATTGGCTTGTCGATTCCAAAACTAAATACCAAAAGAGTTGTACAAACAATGTTTAACGAGTATGGGCGACTGGTTTCAACTGTATCTTACCCAACGAATTTCGAAAATCCAATCCTCAACTCATCCATACTATCGTGAAACAATGTTTACAACGACTAACAGAATAGCAATCTCGCCATTATCGTCTAATTAGGGTAAACATTATGTACCTGGTATGTCAATTCCAGAACTAGATAATAAAACGAGTTATTGATCTTATAGCAAACTTAACGATGTTGAACTGAATGATTAATGTCAAATGGTACTCAATTGTGACCCATTTAATTGATCATAGTTAAGAAAACAAATTAACAATTTTGAGAGGAAAGTCGAACTAACCAAAAGAAAAGAAAAAACTTAGGACTACTAGACATAGATAAGGAAGATAATTAACAACTTCTTACATTGAGAGGAAAGCCATAGTAACCAAAACAAAATCAAATGAAAATTTGCGCATCCGGGGAATCGAACCCCGGTCAGTACCGTGGGAGGGTACTATGATACCACTACACTAGATGCGCCATTTATGTTCATTTCGTTTGGAAATAGTTAATGAAGATGAACAAATGGAATTAATCATTGAAATATAACACACAATGAATCAATAACTTCCATATACAATAGATGCCTAAGAAATATGGACATATGGTATCAGCCAGGTGTGACTGCCAAAGCCTGGATCCAGGAACTCACATGTACTCTTGAATACATAGAGACAGGCAGACAGCAATAAACAATGTCAAGAGGGTAGAAAAAGAGCAAGTTTCATCGACATCCCAATTCCAGCCTTCCATCCGGAGTAATCGACGTGTTTGTACAGAGCTTCTGTAGGTCAATGTAACCTATGATGGTGTCCTCAAACACAGCGTCGGCCAGTTCAGCTTCCTCGAACGTGGAACCCGATAGCACCGTGTTCCTGAAAATGGCCCCTTTCAGGTTGGCCTTACCAAAGTTCACACGATCCAGAACTGCGTTCGAGAAGTCCACACCTGCAACATGAAGAAGATCAATCACATAGTCGCAACCTTGTTCTGACATATAATCCACTATCAATACAATGCAGAATCCTAATTGCTTGCCAAGATCACGCTACCATAACTCTTAAGGGATATAAGTGCAGCAAAGTTTTTACCTTGGAAGCTAGCTCCAACAGCATAAGCCTTGGACATGACCACTTCTGTCATATCCGCACCATCAAACTTGGCACCCGACATTAGGGCTGCAGCAAGTGATTTCCCTTTAAGATTGGACTTGTCATTACTGTAATCACAGAACCTAAGATCGATCGGCTTGTCATAAACACCGTTTGCTTGACCGATTGTGTTCCCAACATAGGCCTTCTCACATCGATTTGGTTCCGTTGACAATGGGGGTAGCCTCTACACAACACATTGCAGTGACGGCGCGAAAACAAACTACAAAAGCAGGATCCTCATTCCTCAGTCATGCAACCAGACCCGGCCTCAAAACAAGGTACTTGAATCGATACACCATTGTAGGACATTGACAGCAACTAACTAAGAAAGCAGTAACACTGGAGGGAAGGTTGTAAGTTGTAAGCCCTCTTCCCCTCTTTTGGCAACATAATTTCTTAGGAGTGTTCCCAATCATTCCTTTTCCTCAACTCAACAACCATTCAATCTCTACTCTCCCACCCTTTTCTTGTCAAAGCATAAACCGTAAATCAACAAGAGCAACTGCTCAAACAAAAGCACTGGCGTCATCATTTAACCCAGTTCAACAATGCAGCAAGTAAACCCACTGAATTCGTCTAAAGAGCTGTTTGATTTATGCTATCAAGAAAAGGGCAAAATTGGGGCTCTCAATTCAATTGCTAATTTGGAAAGACCAGTAATGTAAAGGGGGCAATATGATTCAGAGAAGCAACCTGAGTTGCAGCAATTACAGGAGAGGCAACAGCAGCAGTGACAGCCAAAGCAGCAAGAATCCCACAAGCCACACAATTCACTTCTTTCTTTCAACCCAACAAGCCTCGGGGTTTCTCCAGATCTCGAACCCACTCCATTGTTCCCTGCAAAGATCAAATCTTTAACTTCGATTATAACAAAGAGATGGCTGTCAGGTGTCGATCAAATTGTTTTGGGTACGTACCAGAAGAAGAAGAGCAGCAAGTGAATTTGGCGCGAGGGTAGTGATGAAGTGCCTGGAGCTCCCGTTTACTAGACCAACTGACGCAGAAGAGACGATTCCGGGGTGGTGCGAGAGAGCGGAAGCGAAAGAGAAAGTGTCGCCATTTGTTTAGGTTTTAAGTGTGGTGAGAGGTTCATCTATGAAGCTGCTGGAGCGATCGCTCGCAGTCCATTCTTCCAGTTGGGTTGATTCGTTATCCACTCAGAATATATTACGACGCGCGTTTCATTTTCCCGCGGTTCGGCCGTTTCATTTTTCCCGCGGTCATGGCCACCAACAAACACCATAACCTTACAAATTCTGTTCTTCACTGCTACATTAACACTTACCGCCAACTTACTGCAACAATTGAGTTGAAACTTGAAACGTATTAACCATCATTACACAGTTCCTCTCGTTGCTGGATGGGATGAAGAAGCGGCCCATTTCTAACATCTTTTCCCAGCAAATGAAGCGACAAACCCTCACAAGTGGCATAATCATTACCAAGTTATTGCTATTATTCAATGAGAAAGCTCACTGCTTTAAGCTCCTCCTCCTTTCTTATCTCTTACTTCTTTCCTAAGAAAAAGAAAACCTCCCAAGAGGCCAAGACTCTTCCCCTCCCATCATGCACGAATTCGACTATCACGCGAAATGAAACACGTTGAAATAATGTGTTTACATATCGTTAGTCGTAGAATTCATGACCTGATAAAAGAATCGTTCGATGAAATAAACACGGTGTTTACGCCTATCTCGTATCAACTAGACACCAAAAATGGCTTCTTCCAGCATGGCATGTAGACTTGACTGACTGACTGTCAGCTGCACAGACGACTCCCTTTTGACCAGACCATACAGTCGTCCTCTGTTGTATTAATTCCTTTTCAGTTCCAGCTTTGCCTTCACGCTAAATATATAAACAGAGTTTTCTCCCTGACTCTCCACTCTCCTCCCATTTCTTCTCATCACTCGGCCCTCACTTCCGCTCTCCAGATCTTTCTAAAAAAAACCCTAAAGCAAGCTCGATCTCGCTTTCCAGCTCCAGCAATGGCTCCCTCCAAGACCCTACTGCTCGCTGCCACTCTGGCCCTGATTCTCGCCGCCGCCGTCGCTCAGGCGGCAGAGTCCCCTGTTTCCCCTGCTCCAGCTCCCGGACCCAGCTCTGCTGCCACCTCTGCCTCTCCCGCCGTAGCGTTGGCTGCTGCCGCCGTCGTCGTGGCCCTGGCGTTTGGCTCCGCCGTCAAGATCTGAAGGACCGGCGCCGTCTCCGTTGGTTTGTTTAGAGTTTGTGTTGTTATGGAGACGGTTACAATAGCTCGTTACTCGTAGAGATATGGTTGGCGTTATGACTTTTCAGAGTGTGTTTGCATTATATATCGTATATGGGTTATCGTATGAATAAATCAAACTGATCTAGATTTTGCCTATTGAATTCTTTATCAACTCTTGTTACTAAAGACTCAAGCTTTTAGACTTAATACAGAGATTTTCGACTGAGAGGGACATTGGAAAACATATCGATGGATATCACTGTTGATCAAGTTGACCGATTGTTCTACCTAACTCGGCCGGCTGAAAATTCGACCGTCCTCCATGTTTGATTCCACAACATGGGATCTCGTATTCTTTTCTTCTTCGATTTTTTTTATATACCAAAGCTTAATTCAAAGCGTTATCTCCAAGGGCGGTGCCTTTCCTTTGTTGTGAAGGAAGAAATAATTGAATTCCTTATTGATCATGATGTCCGGAGCCTGGAGTAACCATTGATCCACTTTGCCGTCCTTTTTCCACCACACCAAATTCTCCTCTCTGTTTCCTTCGCGCTTTTCCTCCGAACCCATTTTTGGAGTTCTGTTGCCCCCGATCGGTAGAAAAACCAAAGGGCAGAGGGGGAAAAAGAAAACTCTCAGGCGACATGGAGGACGGCGGCGGCGGCGGCAGAGCATCTGGTTGCTGGTCGTACGAGAAGCTGAAATGCGTAGGTTCGAGCATGGCATCAGCTTTCTTCGCGTCGTTGGAGCGGTGTTCCTGCATCAACCTCTCCACCTCCGACGACGCTGACGACGCCTTGGAAGCTCAAGATCGTCCCCTCATGTTCTCCAACTCCATCTCCAAGTCCAATTCCTCCTCCGCCGCCATCTTCTCCGCTGCCGATCCGGTTGTTTCTCTTCGTGCCTGAGAGGAGATCCTTCGTCGTTGATTTGTCTTTTGCCTTTAGGAAACAGAGTATCACTTGAATTGGGGATTTGCTCCTTGCTCTGTTTCTTTACTTTTTTTTGGTGTTCATCAATTGTACTGTTTGGCTTTGTTTGTTCAACTGGGAAAATTGGGTACATAACCCAAATCAGCGTTACTGGTTTTGATTGTTCATGAACTGCAACCATCTATTGCGACGACCATAGATGTGTTTATTTATGTAGGTTAAAGGAAAATTACACCAAGAACTCTGTGTCCGATCGAGTTTCTATTAAAAAAAACAGACTTTAATCAATCTTGCAGGCCAGTAAGGTGATTGATCGTGCCCATTTCCATATCATATTGGGACCATACCGCCAAACAAGATTGCTTGAAATACACACAATTTCTCCGGCGGCAACCCAATTCCTCTGCTTCACCGGCGGATACACTAACGCAGCAATTGGTCCCGAAGAAGAGCACTCTGCCTCCCAGGTCCTGCAGGCGAACCCATTCCAGCTTCCGGGTATCAAGACGGCGCACTTCCACCCCATCCACAGATTCCACAGATTTCCTGAAGATGAGAAACACCAGCAGAATCTCTCCTTCCGATTCCACCAGGATTTCACGGAAATGCTTGCACGGAACACCAGGAACCATCCTCTATGAAAAAGCTCAATGAGCTTAGGGTTTGTAGAGGAAGAAGAGAGTGAAGGCGGCACAAAATGAGGGAACCCGCAAGGAGTGATTCTCCTCTGCTACTATTCATTTATACTCAACAGAAAGGTAAAGTTCAGTACAGTAAAAATGGAACTAGTCCGTTAAAACAGAAATACGAAAAGCAGTAAATAAACGCGCCACTTGTCATCGTGTAATTGGCCCTTCGTTGCTCCACCTAACGTTCACTGAGAAACCTCCACGACGTCGCTTTGGTATTCGCCTTAAACATCAGATGGAGGGGAAGGCAGAAACGTTTCGTTTCTGCCTGGTTCGTTTCTTCTTCAAACTTCAAGCTCGCGCCTTCTGCAAGTGACCGTTGAAGATCAGTCGTCTTCTTCCTGGATTGAAACCCCCCCCGCAAGCTGGCGAGTAAGCATTGAAGACTCCCAGCTTGTCCAAGAGGAACTTCAGACGATAGCGAGTCACTCCCTTGGTGAAGATGTCAGCAATTTGATCATCAGTTCTCACGTGGCTTAGCTTAATCAACCCAGACTTCAGTCTCTCCCTTGTAACATGGCAATCGATCTCGATATGCTTTGTTCTTTCGTGGAAAACTGGGTTTTCTGCAATATGTAAAGCTGACCTGTTATCACAGTAAAGAGGGATTGGAAGAGGAACCTGAACTCCCATTTCTAGCAACAAATTCCTGAGCCACTGAACTTCACAAACAACATGTGCCAGAGCTCTATACTCAGCTTCAGAAGAAGAGCGTGACACAGTTGTTTGTTTCTTTGTTTTCCAGGTGATAAGGGAAGTTCCCAGGAAAGTGCAATAACCAGTCAGAGATCTTCTTGAATCAGGGCAGCTAGCCCAATCTGCATCACAAAACCCTGACAATTCCAATTTCGAATCAGACCTGAAAATTAGACCTTGCCCTGGTGTGTGCTTCAAGTACCTGATAACCCTATGAGCAGCTTGAAGATGTTCAACAGTTGGTGTGCCTTGGAATTGAGCCAACTGCTGAACAGCATAGGTGATATCAGGCCTGGTGATAGTCAAGTAGTGGAGTTTACCAATCAATCTCCTGTAAACAGTAGGATCAGGCAAAGCTTCACCTTTTGTAGCAGTCAACTTCAAGTTACAATCAACAGGGGACAAACACCCTTTTGCTTCAATGTACCCTGTATCAGTAATTAATTCCAGACAGTATTTCTTCTGACTCAAAGAGATCCCTTTATGATCTCTTAAAACTTCCAAGCCTAGAAAGTAACTCATTTGGCCAAGGTCCTTGACCTTAAATTCCTTCCCAAGGAACAGTTTTAACTGCTCAATGTCACCCAAATAACTGCCTGCAATCAAGATGTCATCAACATATACAAGGACCACAACAATTCTGCCCTGAATCCATCTCACAAACATAGAATAGTCTGAAGATGTCTGAGAATACCCATTCTTCATTAGTGCAGTAGTTAGTTTGGCAAACCACTGCCTGCTGGCCTGCTTGAGTCCATAAAGAGACTTCTTAAGTCTGTAAACAAGGCCTTGACCTCTAGGAACATTAGCTCCAGGAGGTATTTCAAGATAAACCTCTTCTTCTAAGTCTCCATGCAGAAATGCATTGGAGACATCCATTTGGTGAATGTGCCAGTCCTTTGAAGCTGCCACTGCCAACAAGGTTTTCACAGAATTAATCTTGGCAACAGGTGAGTATGTGTCAAGGAAGTCAATTCCATAAATTTGTGTGTATCCCTTGGCAACAACTCTGGACTTAAACCTCTCAATAGTCCCATCTGACTTGTGTTTAATCTTGAACACCCATTTGGAACCTACAGCTTTCTTACCCTCAGGTAACTTCACAACTTCCCAAGTCTGGTTCTCTTCCAATGCTGCCAACTCTTCATTACAAGCCTGGTTCCACCTGGGATCTTTGCAGGCTTCAGCATAGGAAGTAGGTTCCACTTCCATCATGACACTAAATGCAAATGATCTCTGTGCAGGAGTAAGGTTTTCATAGGAGAAGTTCTTCCAGATGTGATGTTTGGAACATGATGCAGTAATGTTAATGTCATAATCTTTGTGCCATGCTGGGACATTTCTGGTTCTAGTGGACTTTCTGAGGAGTTCAGCCTCATTAGAATCATCATCATCAGGGAAAACTTCAATCTCAACCTCCCCCCCACCAGAATGCAAACCAGGAGACTCTGAACAGGAAGGGTGTTTAGAAGAAGAAGGAGAAGAAGAAGGAGTTGGAGATGGAAATGGACTGTGAGAAGGAGATGAACTGGGGGCATTCTGGGAAGTGGATGTGTTAGGTGATGAGGAGGAAGAAGGGCTATCTGAAGGTATGGGTGACAAGATAGGAAGAATAGGATCTGAAATGAGAGTAGTGGTATTAGAAGAGGAGGAAGAAATGTGGAATGGTAGAATTGTCTCATAGAATGTGACATCTCTAGAGACAAAGAAACTGTGAGAATTGAGATCATAAAGTTTAAAACCTTTAATCCCAGAAGGAAAACCAAGGAAAATGCATTGCCTTGCTCGAGAATCAAATTTGGTCCTATCCCTATGCAAGGTGGCAGCATAGCATAAACAACCAAAAACTCTTAAGCCAGAGAGGCTAGGAGGTTTGTGGTAGAGTAGTTCATAGGGGGAGGTGTTGTTCAGGGCAGAAGTGGGGATTCTGTTAATGAGATACACAGCATGCAACACACAGTCACTCCAGAATTGAAGGGGGACTCCAGATTGAAACCTCAATGATCTGGCAACATTCAGTATATGCTGATGTTTCCTTTCAACCCTGGCATTCTGTTCAGGGGTCTCAACACAAGAAAGTTGATGCTCAATCCCATTAGCAGCATAGAATTCTGCCATGTGAAACTCACCTCCCTGATCACTTCTAACAACCTTGACATGTTTTGAATACTGCTTAGACACCATCACACGGAATGATTCTAACAGTTTACTAGCTTCAGATTTATACTTCATCAAGTAAGTCCAGACACCTCTTGAGTAATCATCAACAATTGTTAGAAAATAGGAGTAACCATCATGTGATTTAACAGCCAATGGACCCCAGATGTCCACATGAATAAGAGAAAAAGCATCTTGTGCACGAGAAGAACTAACAGGGAAAGGAAGCCTTTTGTGTTTGGCAAAATGACAAGTTTCACAGTGTAAACTAGAGATCCTATTACATGGTACTAATAGTCTCTCTTTCTCTCTGTGAACATGTCCAAGTCTCCAGTGCCACAGGTCAAATGTTTGAGGGGAAAAGTTGTAGATGGCTGCTGCCTGAGGTTGTGAATGAGATGGTGAAGGAGATGGGATGGTCTTGAAGTTTAGTTGATATAGGCCTCTAATCTGCTTTGCCAAACCAGTCCTGTTGAGGGTCATTAGGTCCTGAATTTGGCAAGAGTCAGATTCAAAGTGTAAGGATATTGGTAAGTCATTTGTAAGTTTACTCACAGAAACTAGGTTGAATGAGAAACTGGGCACAAGAAGGACATTATCAAGTACTAGTCCTGAAGGAAGTTTAACTCTCCCTATATGACTCACAGAAACTTTGGTTCCATTAGGCAGGAAAACAAACTGGTTCTGAACTGGGGTGGACTCAAAGAAGAGATCTAGGCTGCATGCTATATGGTCAGAGGCACCAGTGTCGAGTATCCATATACCAAGCAACCCATTAGATTGTTGTGGAAGGTAAGAAGAGAGAATGTATTTACCAGCATGGTTTGGAAAATGAGGAATGTGCTGTGCCACTGAGAAAGCATGATGATTAATGGAGGGAGAAGTTGGTGGAGATGGGCTTGGTGAAGGTGGGACTGAGTTCAGGAGGAACCTCAACTTGTTCAACTCTTCAGAAGATAAGCCAAAACTGCCACTGGAGGGTCTAGTAGTGTCAATGCTGAGTTTGGTTTCTGAACTAGCAGTGTCACTGTCAGTGGAGGAATCACTTTGAGAAACAGCTGCAGCCACATTTCCTCCTGCCATCCTTGCCTTCTTACGTTTGAGACTGTAACATTCATCAATGGTATGGTTTTCTTTCTTGCAGTACCTGCAGAACTTCTTCCCATCAGAAGTAATATCCATACCCTTCTGTTGATTACTTGAATTCCCTGTAACAGCAAGTGCCACAGTTTGAACTCCCTTAGTCCCTCCAGCCTTGTCTCCTTTAATCTTCTGTTCATGCTGCAATAAGTCATTTACAACACTGTCCACTGTAGGAAGTGGCTTCATCATCAGCAGCTGTGTATGCACAATCTCATATTCAGGTCTTAACCCTTTCAGAAAGCGGATGAGATATTCCACTTCCTGCTTCTGCTTAAAAGCTTCCACAGCTGC